GTATTCTTGGGTTCAATAAAACATGTGGTCTCTAAAACTAAAACAAAATTTTTGGGTTCATAAAAATAGAATGGGTTCCAACTATTTTTTTGGGGGGTAATCATGGTGTTGAAGGAAAAATTGGGTCATTCAAAAAAAACATAATTTCTGGACTTTTAGATTCCGGCCTTAAATGAAAAAACAAATTTGGGGTTCTGAAAATAGGGGGGAGGCTCTGGGTTGTGGCACGGCCAGCTGAGGAGGTGCTCGACTGTTTCAGGGTTTAATGGCGGGGTCATCAGGCCTCCCGTCCGTGAAGCTTCGCGTAGGGCGAGGCCCTGGGAGCCGTCCAAGGAATGGGCGGCTCGGAACCCTCACCCTGCATCAGTCCCCTCGAAAAGCTGCACGGGGGCTTAGTGGCGGGGTCATCAGTACCTGCATCAGTCCCCTCGAAAAGCTGCCGGGGAACGGAATGCTTATTCGGGCAGCTTCCCATCCCCCGGAAATCCTCGGTTCCAATCCGGGGATGGGAAACTGCCCAAAAAAGGGCAGCATTCCGTTCCTCCGGCAGCCCCTCGAGGGGACTGTAGAGGGGTGAGGGTTCGGAGCCCTTGGACGGCTCCCAGCGCCTCGCCCTGCGCGGGTGATGACCCCACCATTAAATTAAGCCTTGAAGCAGTTGGGCACCTTCTCAGCTTTTCGTCGGCCCTGAGCCCCGGCTCAGCGTAGGCTAGGGGCGAACGGCATGGTGCTGAAATGGGTGCTGAAATGGGCGGAGGTGATGAAATGGGTGCTCACACGGGGTCCTCACAAGGGGCGCGACAAGAGGTGCGACAATTTAAGCCCGCAAAGCACGCTCTCTCTTAGGCTAGAGTCCCCAACCACGCCACAACACAGCAGGGAGGATCGCGATTCTAAAATTCGGACAAAAAACATGTACATACACATGTACCTATATATATATACATATATATATATATATATCTACATATATATAAACATACATATACACAATAGTGTAATACTATAGTATTACAATACCACAACATAATAACACATAGTATACGATTTTGTGTTATATCCATTCTCACTATTGCGATTTCGCTCGCTCGCTCGACGGCAGTGGTGACGCTTACATTCTGTCAGCGATCAGTCGCTATGCGTTCCAATCCTGCAGGCACATGGGGCCGGTGTTCAGTGCACAGGCATGTTCATTGTACTTCACGTTGCCGTTGAAGCACCGTCCGACAGAGTTCGATTGTGTTTCAAGTTGGGCGGATGTGGACGGTTGTTTAGATGCTTAACGACAGCTGTCATCAACTCTCAGTATGTTTTGGAGCATTGCAAGTTAATTGCAACTCAACCAAACGAAATTCGGAAGGAAACTCTACCACACGAAACTTGGGTGCAGTTTGCCTTTCCAGCCTCGAAGGCTCGATTGCCAGAAACCCTCAAAAAAAATAGTGGGGGAAGGCCTGAAAGTTATGATTCTTTTTTAAAGTGAAGCCCCCAATAGAAGCCCGGACCGTGAAATTTAGCAATACTTGGGTTCTATGATCTCATGGGAAGGTCCTTTTCACGAAGCATTCTACCGGGCTGCCGCCGACTAGCCTTAGCAGAGGCAGACTTTAAAAAAAAACTTAGTTTGGAATTCCAATATGAGACGCCCCAGAAAGCCGCACATTTTTTTACTCGGCAATCGTGGCCTCTCTCATATACGGTCTGACTGATAAACTTTGCACACGATCAACGGCCAGTTTTATCGCTTTCTACGTAGAGTATTAGGCATCAAGGCAGCTTACTATTCTCGAATTCCCAACACGGAGATTTGGAACCAGGCGGGTAGACCACACCGGAAGGGGGACCTTCTCAACGCCATACAACAGAAGATGTTGGTGGAGGTCTACAGCCACAGCATTAACGATCCATTAAACAATGTAGTCTTCTGCTCGGCACTGAAAGACCGCATTCTAACGCAGGGTCGTCGAAGAGGTAAGCCAATACCGTATTGGTTGAACACCATTATTAAGAGGCAGTATCCCAGCTTGTCTGACCAAGCCGCAGGGTCACTGTTTGGGTCGCAATATAAGTTCATAGAGCTAGGGCGAACCCTGCGACAATCCATGGAGAGGGCGCCAAAGCGCGCAAGACAGCGCGCATGGCCCTAGCAAGAAATGCTTTCACATGTTTTCACATTAGATCCTGCTGGATCGTAGTTTTCAGCACTGTAGAAACACCAGGAAATGCCCCACGCGGCTTCGAAAACATGGTTCCGACTCACCCACTCCAGTTTCCAGATCCAGTGAAGCATGCCACGGTCGCGACATGCGTTTGCTAAGAGGTTCGACAGTGGACGTCTACCAGGACTGCACGCTCCACGTTCCACTGCGCGGCGACCAGTTCCTCGGACGCCTACGTCTAAACAGTAGGCCCCCCTCCCCCCCTCCCCCCCAAAATAAGGATGCCGGCGCCGCAAACCGTCACTGGGGCTCTCTGGACTCTTTTACGAATAGCAGGATTGTATTGAATGTCTATTACAAAGCCATTGGCAGAGGACCGGTCCCCAGCAAAGCTTTGTCTATCTGTTAAAGAAGCAAGCAAAAGCAAAGACTGCAGCCACAATCGGGCCCGGGCCGGAGGCTTGCTATAAATGTGGTCCCTTTTATTAATCTGGTTCGATGTGCTGCCGGGCAGGCCTCGTAAGGGGTAGCTCAGGACAGAATGAATTTGCTTCCTTTGTGCTTTTGTGCTGCCGGGCAGGTCCCGTAAGGGGTAGCTCAGGACAGAATGAAAAATTGCGTCTTTGAGTAAGTGACTTAATAGAAAACCTAGCTTTCTGAGAAGCCTGAGTTTGTGGAAACAGCTTGGCCTCGGAGGGTCCTGCTGACGGGAGCAAGTGTCCCTGCAGATTGGAAATCGGCAAGCAGCTCCGGGTGCAGAAATGAAGAGCAAGTCTGAAGCTGTGGGCGGCAGCGACGTGCGCCGTCGAGCTTCGGGCACGTGTCGCGGCAGGCTTGCGCCTGGCAGCAGCCTCAACTGAAAATGGCCCGGTCGGACATCAGCCTGTGGCTGGGCCTCGCCCCGACGCGTAACTGGCGAGGCTTGCGTACTGGACATACCCACATGGTACACAAACTGGCCGGAAAGAAGTTCGCAGCATGCGATGCACTCGTAAATGACAGACTGGGGAGACAATCTGGATTTGTTACGTGACGCTTGCTTTCCCCATGACGCAGCTGTTGCCGTTTGTGTTTTGCGCGCATGTGCCGTCAGGCTGAGGGCCTCAAAGGTGCATCTGCGACCTGGCCGCACCACATCTCTGCGCTGTCCCCGAAGCCTCATCGAACACTTCCTTCGGACAAAGATCCTTCCTCTTCTGCCGCGATGTCTGCAGCGCGAGAAGTAGCAGCAAGCGCAAATCATTTCACACTTTGACGAGGACGCAACGCGCCTCGCCTGCTTTCAAAACTCCATGACAATCACCTGCCCGAGTCCATGCCCCACCAGCCATGAAACCAGCGCTCGAGCCGCGACGGAGCAAGTCGCGCAAGAAGCTGGGCCTCGGCATTCCAACGGCCGCCAACCTCCGAGCCTAGCACGACAAGCTGTTGCGGCCCGCCGTGGCGGAGTTCTGGATAGGCGGAGTGCTGGCGACGGTCTGCGACACGGAGCACGGCGCCGTCATTGTCCGGTGGTTGTTTGTGGTTGCCTTGCCCGGGTGTGGGGGAGGAGGGAACCTAGCGTTGAGTCGCATTGGGTCGCAGCACATCGCGCCCCTTCCCAGCACTGCTCCGTACACGACGAGGTCGAGACGTCAACGGTCATGGGACGGTGCGCCAGCCATTGCTGGGGCATGACTTGCCATTCGGGCCCTACAGCCTCGCCGGCGCTCAACGATTTTTGCGCGGTGGGCCAACAATCCCGTCCGTGGGCAGGCGAGGGCATGGTTGCGGTAAGCGTTCCCGCTGGCCACAATCCGGTGTCGGCGCGTCGTGCGAGCTGCATCTTGGCACTGCTGCCAGCCAAGCCCCACC